TGGTTTAATAATGTGGCCTTTTTGGCAGTTTAACTAAAGGTGTGCGGCTGCTACCATGAGGAAATATCTGCCTGAAATTACAATGGGCTTCAATGGAGGAATGTTGAACGTTTTTGTCACTTAATGCCCTCAAGAGGCATTTTCTTTAATATTTTTTCTTATTTTTTCTTTATTTTACAAGCTAGGAGAGGTTTTCCTACGTTTTCCATGAAAAAATATGTCTGAGGAGTGTAGGGTTTGGGAAGTATGGCAAGTTTAAAACATTTTTGGGGGAGAATTTTGAGCTGTCCTGCACTCTGTTTTGAGATCAAAGCACTCTAGAGTTAATGAGCTGCTCCATCCACTCTAATGTAAAAATCTTAAAAATGCCTCTCTACCAAGCTCCAAACTAAATTCAATATCTCAAACAGTTGAAAAGATATCAAAATTATTTTATACAAGTTTTATAGTTGAAGGTATTGTGATCATTTGAAAGTTGGAATGAAGTGTCTGGCTGAAATTATGTGGAAGGAGATGCATTTGGCGCAAAGTGTAGGAAAAGTGGATTTGAAGGCTCTTCCCATTGACTTCAATGTTAAAAAAAAGAGTTTAAAAAGCTGAATATTTCAAAAAGTATGAAATATTTTGAAAAAGTTGAAAGTTTCCCATCGATTCCTGAACAGGCTGAATAGTTTAATATTTGAATGGTTTCTGTAGCTGAAAATAAGCTGAAGTTATGGAGTGCCAAAGTATTGGCTGAAATAACTAGAAAATGCATTTCTTGCAGAAAATGCGTGCGAATGCTGTAAACTGTGAACATTTATGGCTGAATTTAGCTGAAAATGCAGAAAAAGCTGAATATGTTATTAGCTGAATGGTAGCTGCTTTTAGCTAAAAAAATGCAGAAAAAGCTGAATATTTAAAAGAAAAGGTTTAAAAAAGGTATAAACAACAACATGTATAGCCTTGATGTCCTGAAATAGCTAAATAATGTAATAGTTGAATGGGTTATGCAGCTGAAAATAGGCTGAAGGAGTTAAATATCAGATGTAAGTAGTAGTGAATGAATTTGTATTAACATGAGAAAATAAAGTAAAAAGGCTTGGGAAACTTTTGAACTAACTTGATGGTGAATGATCTGTCGCCATGGCAACGGCATTTGATGACATCCCATAATACTCTTAGATGTGTTGATGGCTGCATTGTTACCAAACCTGTGACGTTTTGGGCCATTTCGAGTATTTTCACTGAAGTTATGAGAAAACCGTGTTTCATGGTGAGCATTGTGTTGCCATGGCAACGGCATTTGAAGACATCTCAAAACTGTCACGTAGATGTCTTCACGGCTGGACTGTTAGCACACATGTGAAGTTTGCACACTCTTTGAACATTTGCATAGGAGTTATAGTGACATCATATTTTATGGCGAGGGATGCGTTTCCATGGAAACGGCATATGGTGAGATCTCAGATTTGGTGTAGAGCTGTTGAGGCATGGACCGGTGATATACAAGTGAAGATTGGGGGACGATTGGACCGTGTCCATTGGACTTATAGCGACATCATGTTTTATGGCGAGGGATGGAAACGGCATATGGTGAGATCTCAGATTTGGCGTAGAGCTCTTGAGGCATGGACCGGTGATATACAAGTGAAGATTGGGGGACGATTGGACCGTGTCGATTGGACTTACAGCCTCATCGTGTTTCATGGCGAGTGGTCTGTCGCCATGGCGACGACATTTGATGACACCCCATACTACGCTTAGATGCATTGATGGCTGCATCGTTATCAAACCTGTGAAGTTCTGGGCTGTTGGGAGTATTTTCACTGAAGCTATGAGAAAACCGTGTTTCAAGGCGAGCATTGTGTTGCCATGGCAACTGCATTTGGAGAAATCTCAAGACTGTCCCGAATCGTCTTCACAGCTGGACTGTTGAAGTCTGCTGCATGGCAGTTGGAGTGATGACATCCTGTGTTCCATTACACAGGTGTTTATATTTGAACTAACGAGCTCTGTAGAGATCACAGGTTTCCATTGTTCTGAATGAGAGATGAACCTCTTACATGTGAACGTTTTGTGGAAGAACTGTAACAGATATCTGTGAAATTTCAAAACGTGAAGCATGTCAAGGAAGTTGAGTATCTGAAGTGTAATTTTTGTGTAGTTTTGGGTTAATAATGTGGCCTTTCTGGCAGTTTAACTAAAGGTGTGCGGCTGCTACCATGAGGAAATATCTGCCTGAAATTACAATGGGCTTCAATGGAGGAATGTTGAACGTTTTTGTCACTTAATGCCCTCAAGAGGCATTTTGTTTAATATTTTTTCTTATTTTATTTTAATTTTCCAAGCTAGGAGAGGTTTTCCTACGTTTTTCATGAAGAAATATGTCTGAGGAGTGTAGGGTTTGGGAAGTATGGCAAGTTTAAAACATTTTTGGGGGAGAATTTTTAGCTCTCCTGCACTCTGTTTTGAGATCAAAGCACTCTAGAGTTAACGAGCTGCTCCATCCACTCTAATGTAAAAATCTTAAAAAGGCCTCTCTACCAAGCTCCAAACTAAATTCAATATCTCAAAAAGTTGAAAAGATATCACAATTATTTTATACAAGTTTTATAGCTGAAGGTATTGTGATCAGTTGAAAGTTGGAATGAAGTGTATGGCTGAAATTATGTGGAAGGAGATGCATTTGGCGCAAAGTGTAGGAAAACAGGATTTGAAGGCTCTTCCCATTGACTTCAATGTTAAAAAAAAGAGTTTAAAAAGCTTAATATTTCAAAAAGTATAAAATATTTTGAAAAAGTTGAAGGTTTCCCATCGATTCCTGAACAGGCTGAATAGTTTAATATTTTAATGGTTTCTGTAGCTGAAAATAAGCTGAAGTTATGGAGAGCCAAAGTATTGGCTGAAATAATAATAAGGGGAAGAATAAAGATTTGAAGCACTATAGTGGAATGCTGTAAACAGCATTCGCACTAATGAGCTGCTCCATCCACTCTAATGTAAAAATCTTAAAAATGCCTCTCTACCAAGCTCCAAACTAAATTCAATATCTCAAAAAGTTGAAAAGATATCAAAATTATTTTATACAAGTTTTATAGCTGAAGGTATTGTGATCATTTGAAAGTTGGAATGAAGTGTCTGGCTGAAATTATGTGGAAGGAGATGCATTTGGCGCAAAGTGTAGGAAAAGTGGATTTGAAGGCATCTCCCATTGACTTCAATGTTACAAAAATAGTTTAAAAAGCTTAATATTTCAAAAGGTATGAAATATTAAGAAAAAGTGGAAAGTTTCTTATCGATTGCTGAAAAGGCTGAATAGTTTAATATTTGAATGGTTTCTGTAGCTGAAATTAAGCTGAAGTTATGGAGAGCTAAAGTATTGGCTGATTTGAAGGCTCTTCCCATTGACTTCAATGTTAAAAAAAGAGTTTAAAAAGCTGAATATTTCAAAAAGTATAACATATTTTGAAAAAGTTGAAGGTTTCCCATCGATTCCTGAACAGGCTGAATAGTTTAATATTTGAATGGTTTCTGTAGCTGAAAATAAGCTGAAGTTATGGAATGCCAAAGTATTGGCTGAAATAATAATATTAAGGGGAAGAAGAATACATTTTTGAAGCACTATAGTGGAATGCTGTAAACAGCATTCGCACTAACTAGGATAAATCAACATGTAACTGCTGGCATTGCACCCACGACCTTCCGACTCAAAGACAGCTCTTCCTCTTAGCCACAGACTATTATGGGATGTCCAGCTCGCTGGACTCAGATCTCTAGATACCTCATCACTCCTCCGCTGCTCCGATACAAGTCCGGGGCCCTTTCTCATTTCATCAAATCCCCCTCCTTGACTCCTCGGTCCTCCGGTAGTGACCCGGAAATGAATTTCAGCGCGCCATGTTGAAGGACATCTCATTTCTCTAAATGCACTTCGAGGACCGAGGATCGAGGATCGAGCGTCGAGGAGGCTCTCTGGAGGAGCTCTAACCGAGGATACACTGATGGTTCCTCCACGGTTCCTCCGCGGATGCATTTCCGGGAACGGTGGAGGCGTGACGCACGGCCGGACTTATCTCAGCCAATGACAGCTCTGCATGCATCCCCTGGATATTATTTTAGAAACTGCTTTCATCGCGTCGCGATGTTTCCAGTGAGAACAGCTGTAAGGTCCGTGCAGAAAGCAGAGCAGTTTGTATAATATATATCACTCAGTAGAACAGGCCGACTCTCTTTATTTGCTGTAGTTTAGTAGATATCTACAAACAAAGAGTCCAGATTTTTCTAAAACCATTTAGTGCTTCACAAAATAAAATACACAACGGCTGTTAGCTGTAGGTGCGTGTCTGTGGTACAGTGTGTAGGTGTGTGTGTGTGGTACAGTGTGTGCGTAGATGCAGTGGACAGACAGGTCTCAGTTGGTTTGGTGTCCTCTGCTTACTTTTAATAGCCTACTTGTAAATAAAACTTTTGGCCCGTAATTTATTTCCCTCATTGTAGCGACCAGAGAGGGGAGAGGGGGGGGTGTTACGTTATTATGAGAGTGCTCTGTTTGATTCTGTAATGGTATATATTTATATAAATATATACATATATATGTGTGTGTGTGTGTGTCCGCATCTGTAGCCTGTTATTGTCTCATTACACCGCACTGTGAATGAATCAAAGTAAATATAGAAGTGGTCATGAACACATCTGTCCATCAGACAGAGGGCTGCTGCCTCCTGTCATCATTAATGGACGTCTCTTTAAAATGACCGCTCAGAGGAGAGGAGTTCTCATTCCTCTAACCGCCTGCTGCTTCCCCTCCTCTCTCCTCGGCTCCCCTCCTCAGTCCTCAGCTCGCATCTACTGTGGGCGGGACTAAGTCTTGAGGATAGGAGTCGAGGAGGGGAGTCGAGGAGGGGAGTTAGAGAAATGAGAAAGGGCCAGAGCCGTAGAAAGGGAGAAGATTACCCACAATGCACTCTTTCTGCCAGCGTTTCACTCTTATGACTGCATCCAAAACACCTGAGTCATGTGTAGAAAATCACCTCTGGAGTTCAAGGATTCAAGGCTTTTATTGTCATTTGTTCATAGCTACAGTGTAGTTATGACAATGAATATTGTATATACAAGTAATTGGAATATTGATATATGTAAGTTGCAAACAGATGAATGTTATTGATGTTCTTTCAAAGGTTCAGTGGTTATCAGTCTTATTTCCTGTGGGATGAAACGTTATGAGTAATTTGGTCATTGAAGGCCTCTCAATAAAGAATCCCTTAGTTGTGCACGCGATGCGGCGCAGCAGGAAGTTTCCTGACGAGGCCCGCAAAGACGATTATGTCATAAGAGTGTCCAAAGATAGATATCGATGAAGGTTTCCCATAATGCACTGCTGTTTTATAGCCACACATGGGCTTGCTGCCAGCTTATTAACGAGCTCAGGGGTAATTAGAGGAAGGGAGGTGTTAAAAAGTGTCTCTTCTCTCTACAGATGCAGCATGTGTTCGTCAAACTGCCCGGATTTAAAGCCATCTACGTGCTGGGGATCAGGTGAGCAGTGGTGAAGAGTACATTTACTCACGTACTGTATATAATTACTACTTTGATATACTTTTACTTCACTTTTCACCACATGGTACTTTAGACTAACTAACTAAACTAAAACTAATCCAACCAAAAACATCATGAACACAAATACAAAGTGAAAATAACTCTATAAATTAAACGCTTTTCAGAATAAGATAGAAGTCCTCATATATCTAGTTTAGTCAAAGTACATTTACTCAAGTACTGTATTTAAGTACTACTTTGATATACTTTTACTTCACTTTTCAAGGTACTTTAGACTAACTAAACTAAAACTAATCCAACCAAAAACAACATGAACACAAATGACAATGGGAAAATAATTCTACAAATGAAATGCTTTTCAGAATAAAATAACTTTTTGAGAAAGTCCTCACACCAGTGTTGTAGTCAAGTCACCAATTCACGAGTCCAAGTCACTCTCGAGTCCCCACTTTTCGATTCCGAGTCACCTAGGGAGAGTTGGAGTCAAGTCCGAGTCACTCAAGGAGTGTCCGAGTTGAGTCCGAGTCCGAGTCACTCAAGGAGTGTCCGAGTTGAGTCCGAGTCACTCAAGGAGTGTCCGAGTTGAGTCAGAGTCCAAGTCACTCAAGGAGTGTCCGAGTTGAGTCCGAGTCCAAGTCCGAGTCACTCAAGGAGTGTCCAAGTTGAGTCCGAGTCCAAGTCCGAGTCACTCAAGGAGTGTCCGAGTTGAGTCCGAGTCCAAGTCACTCAAGGAGTGTCCGAGTTGAGTCAGAGTCCGAGTCACTCAAGGAGTGTCCGAGTTGAGTCCGAGTCCAAGTCACTCAAGGAGTGTCCGAGTTGAGTCAGAGTCCGAGTCACTCAAGGAGTGTCCGAGTTGAGTCCAAGTCCGAGTCACTCAAGGAGTGTCCAAGTTGAGTCCGAGTCACTCAAGGAGTGTCCGAGTTGAGTCCGAGTCACTCAAGGAGTGTCCGAGTTGAGTCCGAGTCACTCAAGGAGTGTCCGAGTTGAGTCAGAGTCCGAGTCACTCAAGGAGTGTCCGAGTTGAGTCCGAGTCCAAGTCCGAGTCACTCAAGGAGTGTCCAAGTTGAGTCCGAGTCACTCAAGGAGTGTCCGAGTTGAGTCCGAGTCCGAGTCACTCAAGGAGTGTCCGAGTTGAGTCCGAGTCACTCAAGGAGTGTCCGAGTTGAGTCAGAGTCCGAGTCACTCAAGGAGTGTCCAAGTTGAGTCCGAGTCACTCAAGGAGTGTCCGAGTTGAGTCCGAGTCACTCAAGGAGTGTCCGAGTTGAGTCCGAGTCACTCAAGGAGTGTCCGAGTTGAGTCAGAGTTGAGTCAGTCGAGTTTGAGTCGACTCACGAGTCCCGAAAATCGGCACTCGAGTCCTCACTCATCTAGTGTAATCAAAGTACATTTACTCATGTACTATTTTGACATACTTTTGCTTCATTTGAGTATTTGTATTATCTACTCCATTACATCTTAGAGGCATCGTACTTCATGTACATATAACTGCATGTTTTATAAATATTAAAGGTATTTTTTTATTCTGAAAAACATAGCAGGGTCAGCATGATAGGAAAAAACCCAACAGTTTAAAAATATTAAATAAATAGTTGTACAAATTCTGGTATAGTTGAAATATAGGTATTCATGTAAGCAAGAGGTGTAAAGTGACTAAGTACATTTATTAAAGTACTGTACTTAAGTACTATTTTTTACATACTTTTATGCTACTTTATACTTTTACTCCTCGACACTTCAGAGGTAAATAAAGTACTTTTGACTCATATTACAGAATAAATAAAAGATTTTAAAAAACAAAGATTGTGTAGAATAAAAATGTAATATACTGAAACGAATGCTATACAACATATGATAAATGTCACTTTTGAGGCGCATGAATAAACACAATAATTGAAAGTGGCAAATTAAAAGCAAATATAAAAAACATTAACTATACAATATGTTGAACTCTTCAAGGGACTCAAGTGTTATGGGAGCGTTTCCTGTCTGTAATCAGATAACAAAACAACATGAGACGAAGGAGAAAGTGTCCAGGAATTAGATAAACATGTTCCTTAAAAGTAAAGTTTCTGAATAAGAAATAAAGAAGCTTTTAGACTGATCTCCTCCTAGAGCACCATTGTGTTCTTTTTAATCAATCGTCTCTCAGAGGGGCGTGGCCAGCAGCAGCTCATTACATTACATTACATTGCATTTAGCTGACGCTTTTATCCAAAGCGACTTACAATAAGTACATTCGACCAGGAAGACACAACCTTGAAGAAAACAGAATCATAAAGTACATCAGGTTTCATAGAGCCAAACATTTCAAGTGCTACTCAACTGGCTTTAGGTAAGCCAGTCCTTTATTAGTATAAAAGTGCTTTGTTAATAGTTCTATCGCTCGAAGTGGAGTCGAAAGAGATGAGTTTTCAGTTTGCGCCGGAAGATGTGCAAGCTATCTGCTGTCCTGATGTCAATGGGGAGCTCATTCCACCATCTTGGAGCCAGGACAGCAAACCCACGTGTTTTCGCCGATGGGAACTTGGGTCCCCCTCGCAGCGAGGGCGCAGCGAGCTGTTTGGCTGATGCAGAGCGTAGTGCACGCGCTGGGGTGTACGGTTTAACCATGGCCTGGATGTAGGAAGGGCCAGATCCATTTGCAGCATGGTAAGCAAGTACCAGTGTCTTGAAGTGGATTCTAGCAGTTACCGGAAGCCAGTGAAGGGAGCGGAGGAGCGGAGTGGTGTGGGAGAATTTAGGAAGGTTGAAGACCAGACGAGCCGCTGCATTCTGGGTGAGCTGCAGAGGTCGGATGGCACATGCAGGTAGACCAGCCAGGAGGGAGTTGCAGTAGTCTAGGCGTGAGATGACGAGAGCCTGGACCAGAACCTGAGTCGCTTTCTGTGTCAGCTGGGGACGTATCTTCCTGATGTTGTAAAGCGTGTATCTGCAGCAACGGGTTGTAGCAGCGATGTTTGCAGTGAAGGACAGGTTGTTATCTAGGGTCACACCCAGATTCCTTGCAGTCTGAGTCGGGGAAACAACTGAGGTGCCGATGTTGATAGTTAGATCAAGAGTGGGACAATCTTTTCCCGGGAGGAAGAGCAGCTCAGTCTTGTCAAGGTTGAGCTTGAGGTGGTGAGCAGACATCCACTGAGAGATGTCAGCTAGACAAGCAGAGATGCGTGCGACGACCTGGGTCTCTGAGCGGGGAAAGGACAGAATTAATTGGGTGTCGTCAGCGTAGCAGTGGTAAGAAAAACCATGCGGGCTAATGACTGATCCGAGCGAGTTTGTGTACAGGGAGAAGAGGAGGGGACCAAGAACAGAGCCCTGAGGGACCGCTGTAGTTAATTGACAAGGGTGGGACTCAGACCCTCTCCACGTAACCCTGTAGGTATGGTCTTTCAGGTATGAGGTGAGGAGGGAAAGTGCAGAGCCTGAAACCCCAAGTTTTTGGAGAGTGCGAAGGAGGATCTGATGATTCACCGTGTCGAATGCAGCAGACAGGTCCAACAGGATGATGACAGAGGAGAGGGATGCAGTTTTGGCAGTGTGCAGTTCCTCCGTGACAGCAATGAGAGCAGTTTCTGTGGAGTGACCTGCCTTGAAACCAGACTGGTGCGGATCCAGAAGGTTGTTCTGATTGAGATAACAGGAGAGTTGTTTAAAGACAGCGCGTTCAAGTGATTTAGACAGGAACGGGAGGAGAGAGACAGGCCTGTAGTTTATAACATCAGACGGGTTGAGAGTGGGTTTCTTTAGGAGAGGGTTTACTCTTGCCTCCTTGAGACTGTTTGGAAAGTGACCAGAAGTTAGAGAAGTGTTGATGAAATGGGTGAGAAACGGTAGAATATCAGGAGCGATAGTCTGAAGGAGGTTTGAAGGGATAGGGTCCAGAGGACAGGTGGTAGGGCGGGCAGAGGTAATGAGGGTAAGAACCTCACTTGGAGAGAGAGGGGAAAAGGAGGTTAGTGTGTTGGTGGAAGGAGGGTCTGGTGACCCAGCGGTGAGTAAAGGTGAGTCAGAAAAAGAAGAGCGAATATCATTAACCTTTTTTTCAAAGTGGGTAACAAAGTCGCTTGACAGAAGTGAGGAGGGGGGAGGAGCTTTTGGAGGGTCCAAGAGGGTGGAGAAGATGGAAAATAGTTTTTTAGGATTGGAATAGGAAGATTGGATCTTATCTTGAAAGAAAGTGCTTTTTGCCTGAGAGATCGAAGCAGAGAAAGAGGAGAGGAGAGCCTGATAGGTTAGGAGGTCGTCACGGTGTTTGGATTTCCACCGTTTCCGCTCTGCTGCCCTAAGGACGGTTCTATTAGCACGCAGTGCATCATTTAGCCAGGGAGCAGGAGGGGACTGACGAGCCTGCCGAGATGTGAGAGGACAGAGCGAGTCCAGAGTGGATGAGAGAGTAGAGAGGAGAGTTTCTGCAGCAGAGTTTGGAGGTAGGAGTTGGAACAAATCAGATGAAGGGAGGGCTGAGAGCACCGACGAGGCAAAGGTAGAGGGAGAGAGGGAGCGAAGGTTACGGCGAACAAGTGCAGGATGGGAAGAGATTAGTTTGTTATGTTTGGAAAGGGATAGAGAGAATGAAATGAAGAAGTGATCGGATGTGTGGAGCGGGTTTACAGAGAGGTTAGAAGTAGCGCAGTTCCTTGAGAATATGAGATCAAGGACATTGCCAGCTTTATGAGTCGGTGGGGACGGAGACAGTGAGAAAGCAAAGGCGGTTAACAGAGATGTTAGTTCGTCTATCTTCCCCGTCTGGAGGTTGAAGTCTCCGAGAAGTACAGCGGGAGGGCCAGTTTCAGGGATGAGTGAGAGGAGATGATCTAATTCCTCCAAGAAGTCCCCCAAGGCGCCTGGTGGACGGTAGAGAACAACAATGGTTAACTGTATAGGATGGGTTACTGTGACGGCATGGAATTCAAAGGTGGAAGGAGTGAAGTTAGGTAGCTTGAAGAGGGAAAAGCTCCATTTGGGAGAGAGCAGGAGACCAGTGCCACCTCCTCTGCCAGTGGGTCTGGGTGTGGGTCAGCATTAGCATTTAAAGCTACAGACACAGAATCAGCACTTTGGAAACAGGGCTGAAACAGAGGGGATTATGGTATAAATCTGAGACCTGTAGTATATTGTTGGAGAAGGGTATAATAAGGGACCTTTAAGGTAAGGTTGTATTAAAGTTTCCTTCATGCTTATAGGAAGAATACATCCTGATTTCAAAGAGCTCTTGAGTGTTGAACACATCATTTATTAATCACTCGTATGATACACTATTGTCTGGCAGAGACCAAATCCTTCAGATTACTCCAAATGACAGATTTCCATTTCATTGTTTTTGTCCGTTCTTATCTCACTTTTCCCTGTTGAGCATTTTCAAGTGTCTCAATCAGACATGATAATCACAATATAACAATAGCTGGTGGATCCGCTCGTGTTCTCAGGGAGTATAATCTAATATATCCAGAGGCTATTATTCCTTTTATCTGATGAGCTTTTGTTGGGCTAGCCTCGTTCCAGAAATATCAATTATTCTCCTCATTGAGATGTATTTCAACGAGAAGGGGGGGACATTCATTCAGAGAAATATTCACACAATATCAACAATTTCATATAAACTGCAGAATACAGCAATGTTAGTAAAAGTAGAAGTACTCAGATCTTGTAGTAAAAGTAGAAGTACTCAGATCTTGTAGTAAAAGTAGAGGTACTCAGATCTTGTACTTGAGTAAAAGTAGAAGTACTCAGATCTTGTAGTAAAAGTAGAAGTACTCAGATCTTGTACTTGAGTAAAAGTAGAAGTACTCAGATCTTGTACTTGAGTAAAAGTAGAAGTACTCAGATCTTGTACTTGAGTAAAAGTAGAAGTACTCAGATCGTGTACTTGAGTAAAAGTAGAAGTACTCAGATCTTGTACTTGAGTAGAAGTAGAAGTACTCAGATCTTGTTCTTGAGTAAAAGTAGAAGTACTCAGATATTGAGTAAAAATAGAAGTACTCAGATCTTGTACTTGAGTAAAAGTAGAAGTACTCAGATCTTGTTCTTGAGTAAAAGTAGAAGTACTCAGATCTTGTACTTGAGTAAAAGTAGAAGTACTCAGATCTTGTACTTGAGTAAAAGTAGAAGTACTCAGATCTTGTATTTGAGTAAAAGTAGAAGAACTCAGATCTTGTATTTGAGTAAAAATAGAAGTACTCAGGTCTTGTACTTGAGTAAAAGTAGAAGTACTCAGATCTTGTTCTTGAGTAAAAGTAGAAGTACTCAGATCTTGTTCTTGAGTAAAAGTAGAAGTACTCAGATCTTGTTCTTGAGTAAAAGTAGAAGTACTCAGATCTTGTACTTGAGTAAAAGTAGAAGTACTCAGATCTTGTACTTGAGTAAAAGTAGAAGTACCAGAGTGTAGGAATACTCTGTCACAGTAAAAGTCCTGCATTCAAAATGTTCCTCAAGTGAAAGTAGAAAAGTATTCTCATCAAAATATAGTGAAAGTAGCGACAGTAAAAGTAGTCGTTGTGCAGATTGGTCCATTTCAGAATAATAGATATGATATGTTTTATAATGATTGATCATGAAAGTGTTCTCAAAGCTGGTGAAGGTGCAGCTAGTCTGAAGTACTTTGTATACTGCAGGGTAGCTGGTGGATTTACTCCAGGTGGAACTAAAGTCTGATTCAACACTTGATTATATTTCATCATTCATCCAGATCTGTGAAGTAACTAAAGGTATTAATACATGTAGTGGAGGAAAAGTACACCATGTACCTCTGAACTGTAGTGGAGTAGACAGTACACAGTAGCATACAATATAAACAAGTAAAGTACAAGTGCCTCAACATTGTACTGAAGTAAAGTATTTAATTAAAAATCACACAGGAAGTTGCTTGTGTTGTCACAGATGTTGTCTGACATTTGAAGGTTTCCTGGAACTTAATCTGAACAAAATGCTCGTGTATTCTCTTCCTCTCCCTCTCGTTTAGTTTCTTCCTGTCAAAGCTTATTGTATTTCCCAATCTTTAACTTTCTTTTCTTCTTCCCAATGCCAGCGAGATGCAAGACTCTGACGGGTAATATAAAAACTCTCCCTGTTCCTGTGTGTTTGTGCAGCTACGCTTTGATTTGATGCAGAAAAAGAGGGTTCATTTATTTTATAGTGAAAGTGAAAAACCCCACAGGATGCAATGAGATCAATGAGAGGAAAACGCACTATACATTCATATATCAAATACATACTATGAGTTAGTAGAAGTAGTATTTCTGTATTTAATACATACTATTTTTAAAGAGTCCTCTCCTGCTGATGTTCAGGTGTATATCAGTATGTAGTGTCTCTACTTTAAAGAGTCCTCTCCTGCTGATGTTCAGGTGTATATCAGTATGTAGTGTCTCTACTTTAAAGAGTCCTCTCCTGCTGATGTTCAGGTGTATATCAGTATGTAGTGTCTCTACTTTAAAGAGTTCTCTCCTGCTGATGTTCAGGTGTATATCAGTATGTAGTGTCTCTACTTTAAAGAGTCCTCTCCTGCTGATGTTCAGGTGTATATCAGTATGTAGTGTCTCTACTTTAAAGAGTCCTCTCCTGCTGATGTTCAGGTGTATATCAGTATGTAGTGTCTCTACTTTAAAGAGTCCTCTCCTGCTGATGTTCAGATGTATATCAGTATGTAGGGTCTCTACTTTAAAGAGTCCTCTCCTGCTGATGTTCAGGTGTATATCAGTATGTAGTGTCTCTACTTTAAAGAGTCCTCTCCTGCTGATGTTCAGGTGTATATCAGTATGTAGTGTCTCTACTTTAAAGAGTCCTCTCCTGCTGATGTTCAGGTGTATATCAGTATGTAGTGTCTCTACTTTAAAGAGTCCTCTCCTGCTGATGTTCAGGTGTATATCAGTATATAGTGTCTCTACTTTAAAGAGTCCTCTCCTGCTGATGTTCAGGTGTATGTCAGTATGTAGTGTCTCTACTTTAAAGAGTCCTCTCCTGCTGATGTACAGGTGTATATCAGTATGTAGTGTCTCTACTTTAAAGAGTCCTCTCCTGCTGATGTTCAGGTGTATATCAGTATGTAGTGTCTCTACTTTAAAGAGTCCTCTCCTGCTGATGTACAGGTGTATATCAGTATGTAGTGTCTCTACTTTAAAGAGTCCTCTCCTGCTGATGTACAGGTGTATATCAGTATGTAGTGTCTCTACTTTAAAGAGTCCTCTCCTGCTGATCTTCAGGTGTATATCAGTATGTAGTGTCTCTACTTTAAAGAGTCCTCTCCTGCTGATGTTCAGGTGTATATCAGTATATAGTGTCTCTACTTTAAAGAGTCCTCTCCTGCTGATGTTCAGGTGTATATCAGTATGTAGTGTCTCTACTTTAAAGAGTCCTCTCCTGCTGATGTTCAGGTGTATATCAGTATGTAGTGTCTCTACTTTAAAGAGTCCTCTCCTGCTGATGTTCAGGTGTATATCAGTATGTAGTGTCTCTACTTTAAAGAGTCCTCTCCTGCTGATGTTCAGGTGTATATCAGTATGTAGTGTCTCTACTTTAAAGAGTCCTCTCCTGCTGATGTTCAGGTGTATATCAGTATGTAGTGTCTCTACTTTAAAGAGTCCTCTCCTGCTGATGTTCAGGTGTATATCAGTATGTAGTGTCTCTACTTTAAAGAGTCCTCTCCTGCTGATGTTCAGGTGTATATCAGTATGTAGTGTCTCTACTTTAAAGAGTCCTCTCCTGCTGATCTTCAGGTGTATATCAGTATGTAGTGTCTCTACTTTAAAGAGTCCTCTCCTGCTGATGTTCAGGTGTATATCAGTATATAGTGTCTCTACTTTAAAGAGTCCTCTCCTGCTGATGTTCAGGTGTATATCAGTATGTAGTGTCTCTACTTTAAAGAGTCCTCTCCTGCTGATGTTCAGGTGTATATCAGTATGTAGTGTCTCTACTTTAAAGAGTCCTCTCCTGCTGGTGTTCAGGTGTATATCAGTATGTAGTGTCTCTACATTAAAGAGTCCTCTCCTGCTGATGTTCAGGTGTATATCAGTATGTAGTGTCTCTACTTTAAAGAGTCCTCTCCTGCTGATGTTCAGGTGTATATCAGTATGTAGCAGTGACGTGCGGTGAGGTTCATGGCTGGTGAGGCACTGACTCTTTCAGTCAGATTTACAAATATTATATTTTGACCTTAATCGAAATGTTCTGTTATTTTCAAAAGCTTTTTTAGTCTGATGCTTTGATTCATTTTAAACAGACTGTTCAACAAAAGGATACCCAAAATCTAAATATTGGATTGTTCTTTCTTAGTAAAATTCCATTTTCATTACAATTGGGGTCTTACCTTGACTTGAAGATGAAGTCCATGCTCTCCTTCTGGACAACAATCTCTATTACTTTTTTGTAAAAGTCCTCCTTATCTTCCTCTCGTTTCAAAAGTCTAGCTTGTTGTTCACGTCTACCGTCTCTGCGTAGAATAACAGTAGCAACAAGAACCTGTGGGCTCACTTGCGCCCCCTTCAGTGCGGCAGAGGTTATGGCTGCCTCCCCTGGTGCTTTTTTCATTGCCGTTGTACGATGAGACCAGCGAGCCTAAATATCATATATACGTGAAATAAGTTATTTAGAGACTATGGATGGCGAGGATAAATGTAATAAAGGGATCTACAAACATTACATTGGTGACATACAGTGAGATGGTGCAGGCATGCGCTTAGGGCCCGCTTTCCAGCCAGTTTCTGTGAGGTGACGCATTCTGAGGTGAGGCAGAGCTCATCTGTGCCTCACCTCACCCCACAGTAACTGGCTTGAGCGCGCTCACAAAATAAGTGCCCGCGTTAAATTAGTCCCCGCGCTCCAGCCAGTTACTGTGGGTTTACGAGAGGCAGAGCTCGTCCCTGCCTCACTCCTCATCGCTACCCGTAGTTGTAGCGGAGCTCGGCCAATTTGCTGATTTTGACTATAAAAAGCGATTTGAATCAAACATAAATCACATTTACAAAACAGATCAGTGGAGACATTTTATTACTATTTAGTTTTTCTTTAGTTGTTTTTCCGTACATTGGAGTATGATAGAGGCTCTGCCTCCCCTGACTGCACGTCGCTGGTATGTAGTGTCTCTACTTTAAAGAGTTCTCTCCTGCTGATGTTCAGGTGTATATCAGTATGTAGTGTCTCTACTTTAAAGAGTCCTCTCCTGCTGATGTTCAGGTGTATATCAGTATGTAGTGTCTCTACTTTAAAGAGTTCTCTCCTGCTGATGTTCAGGTGTATATCAGTATGTATTGTCTCTACTTTAAAGAGTCCTCTCCTTCTGATGTTCAGGTGTATATCAGTATGTAGTGTCTCTACTTTAAAGAGTCCTCTCCTGCTGATGTTCAGGTGTATATCAGTATGTAGTGTCTCTACTTTAAAGAGTGCTCTCTTGCTGATGTTCAGGTGTATATCAGTATGTAGTGTCTCTACTTTAAAGAGTCCTCTCCTGCTGATGTTCAGGTGTATATCAGTATGTAGTGTCTCTACTTTAAAGAGTCCTCTCCTGCTGATGTTCAGGTGTATATCAGTATGTAGTGTCTCTACTTTAAAGAGTCCTCTCCTGCTGATGTCCAGGTGTATATCAGTATGTAGTGTCTCTACTTTAAAGAGTGCTCTCTTGCTGATGTTCAGGTGTATATCAGTATGTAGTGTCTCTACTTTAAAGAGTCCTCTCCTGCTGATGTTCAGGTGTATATCAGCATGTAGTGTCTCTACTTTAAAGAGTCCTCTCCTGCTGATGTTCAGGTGTATATCAGCATGTAGTGTCTCTACTTTAAAGAGTCCTCTCCTGCTGGTGTTCAGGTGTATATCAGCATGTAGTGTCTCTACTTTAAAGAGTCCTCTCCTGGTGATGTTCACGTGTATATCAGTATCTAGCTTTTCACCCTCTGTCTGAAGCTCTGATTGGTTAGCTGGCCGGCTCTGTTGTGATTGGCCTCTTTAAATACGGCTGAAGTGAAAGGAGAAAGAGGATTATTACCTCAAACACAAACGTCTTGTTGTCCTCTGAGGACGGAATATCCTTTGAGAGATTATCTCCCCTGTGAGTGTCTTTGTAATTAATTATTGAGTCGATGGGTGGAAGTTTCTCTAATCGGTAATGGTCCTCTAGCTGTGGAGTGTGCCGCTTTGTCGACCAATAAGGAGAGGGGGGGGGGGGGGGGGGGGGGGGGGGGTTTTGCCTTCTAATCTCACCAAGGACTCAGAAGGGCTAAAATACAGCACACCTTTTAAAGGTCTCCTAAAAAAATGCACTTTTTGATGTCATTTATACGAAGAAGTAGTTAGAAGAAGCATTCTGTACTTTACTGGGAGCCAGTGTAAATCTGCTGAGTGATGTCGTCCTTTTTCCTTGTTGTTGTTGTTGTTGTTGTTAGTAGACGGGCTGCAGAATCTTGTCAAGTTTTTTGATGGGAACGGTTGGACAGCCTTATAGAAGGGTTATAAAAGCATGAATTCGTTTTTCTGCAACGTTTTGATTTAGGACCAATCAGGAATTAAGGTGTGTAGAAATGAGTCAACGTTTTTTTACTTTTGCATTATTGATGAGATGTTTTGTATCAGAACTAAGGAACTACTATCTTAAAAAAGGTCAGAAAGCTTGTCATAACTGCAGAGTTTCTCCAGTTATTGAAGTCGTTGATTCGTGAATACGTTTTTGCCGTCACCTGGGAATCGTAGGTAGTGGGTGAGGCTTTGAAAAAGAGACAAAGACGAAGAAGAAACAAAGCCGCCTGCACGTCAGATCCACGAAAGCAGATCTGAGAAACTGAGCTGAGAAACGAGGAAAGCATGAGGCTCGTATTCAGGAGGGCTGAGCTCCCAAGGAGAGAAGTTCAAGGCTCATTTCTCGCCTTGTAAAGTTAAAAGAGTCTAATGTGTGGGCTGCAGAGGGAAGAACAAAGACAAGCTTAGAGGAGATGAGGGTGATGACATGTAGATGAAACACGTGAAGCACAGTCAGAGGATTCAAACACATTTACACACTATAGCAGCATAAACATAACGAACATAAACATACAAAACAACTCATTTTATTTCACGTGCATGTGG